ATGGCGAAGTAAGCCCAATAATCTGATTTCACGCCGTACCACGTAGGGTGGGAAACGTCAGCCACGTGCTGGAAAGGCCCGTTAGAATCCTCCCCGCTGCAAGGCTCCCACCGCCACCGAGATCGAAGGCAGCGGGCAGCTTGGTTGAGACTTCCTAAACCAGAACTTAGACCGCGATGGGCAGAGGGATCTCTCTGCCCGTCCTCGACGTCTTGGTTTTCTCAGACAGGCTCTAGACCTGGCGCCGCGCAGGGCGGTTCAGTATTTAGGTTTCCTCCCCAGCTCTTCTGCTGTGTGAGCCTGGGCAGGTCGGTTGGGTTGGGATCGCGTCGCCTACGAGGGATCCATAACTCGGCGTCGCGCCGGGATCCACCTCGCGCGTGGAACTTTGTGTGCTCGGCGCTTTGCAAAACCCCTTGGGAGCAGAAGCGCTTTTCAGTGATAGTTCCAATTAATTGTTCCTGCGTGAATGATGTTTGGCATCTGACTCTGCCTGTCCACGCAAAGATTCTTAATTTCTACGTTGATTTTTTTCAAAGCAAGATGTTAAATCTCACCAGCGTTCAGGCTTCGCCTGTCCTCTGGTGACATGGCATTTCAAGCAGTCGGCCGTTGTCGTTCTTCCCAGCGGTTGTTGCAGTGCTCCTGCGGCGGGTTTGGTGGAAGCGGGAGATGTTGATGTAAACGTAAGCTCTGTTTCGAGGCAGAAAAACCAAAATACTGACCCGCAGCCTGTCTTTGGTTCCTCAGCCGCTGGACGAGACGAGCCAAATGAGACTCCCCGTCAAAGTGATCCACGTGGAGAGTGGCAAGATCCTCACTGGCACCGATGCCCCGAAGGCAGGACAGCTGGAAGCCTGGCTGGAGATGAACCCCGGGTAAGTCCCGAGAGATGACGGCGATGGGAGATTTTCCCCGGCCCCCCATGTGCCTCCGCCGCGGATCTGCTGCATGCCGGGGCTCGAAGGGGAACGGAAACTCCGGCAATGCGCTGGGATCGTGCCTGTAGCGATGGGACCAACGTTCAGTACGGGGTCGGCGGGGAGGAAAGCGCTTGGTCTGAGCCCAAAGCTCGGGAAGCGGAGGGAGCTGGAAGATGGGGAAGGAAAGATTTCATCGGCCTCCTGAAATGATGTGGGAAAGGCTTGTGGGAGGCATGGTGGGTGGTCCGGGACGCAGGCTCTGGGGCTGATGCACTGCCCTGAGAGCCCGTGTGAGAACTTGAACCCTCAGTGAGGGGAACAAATAAACAGATAAGCACTTTGATTAGAAAAAAAAAATTTAAAAAATTAATACTGATTAAAAAACATCCGAGTTTTAATGCAAGGGTTTTTAGAACCTGCTGATCTCATGCTGTGTGTAGAGTGCTGTTGGTAGCAGATTTGCAATTAAATATTAATATTTGTATTTAATTAGGTATGAAGTAGCTCCACGATCTGACAGTGAAGAAAGTGGGTCAGAAGAGGAGGAGGAGGTAAGGAGAAATACCACCAGTCTCCCTTACACTCTTGTATTTTAAATGTTTTTGAGAGAATAGGAGACAGCCGTACGTCCCACACTAAGCTCATCTCAATAGTTACTTTTTCCAGCACAGCTCTGTGTCAGCCAGCTCAAATAAGTGTAGAATAACCCCGAAAACCCGTGTAAAGAAAGCGATGGGCGAGCTCCGTTCGTTAGCTGCCCCCTTTTTTCCCCAAACATTTCTCCTGTAACTCTTTGGAGGTTCAGAAGCAAACGGGCTGAGCCCGTGCTTCTGGCAGCCTCCGCCTTCGTTAGGGGATGCGCCCGGGCAGGTCTGCGAGCTCCTGGGGCGCGAGTGCTTCCCCTGAGGTTTTCGGAGCCTCTCGTACGCCGTCGTCGGTCGCTCCCGAGTAGGTGGCGTTTTTCCTGCCGTTTCCATTGTGTAAAGGAGAATAAGCGGCTTTGTGTCTCCCGGCAGGAGGAGGAAGAGGAGCAACCGCAACCTGCTCAGCCTGCCCTGCCTGTGGAGGAGAAGAAAAAGATCCCCGATCCAGACAGCGACGACGTCTCAGAAGTGGACGCCAGACACATTATCGAGTGAGCCCTGCCTCTTAACCTGCTCTCGCGGCGTGCCGTCTTCCCTTCCCAAGGGAATCTTGCCCGCTTTGTGCCGAAGGAGCGAAATTCGGCGGGCAGTGTTTGCTCTGCGCCCGCTTTTTGAGAGCAGCCTTTCCAAAATGAGACCTAATTTGGCACCCGTTGGGAAAATAAACCACCCCGGGACCGATGGGGCTCCCCAGGAGTTCTCTCCAAAGGGATCACCTTTCTTATCTCCATTTTTTCCCCCCCTCAACCCCAGGAATGCTAAGCAAGATGTTGATGATGAATACGGGGTGTCTCAAGCTCTGGCGAGGGGCCTGCAGTCGTACTATGCCGTGGCCCACGCCGTCACCGAGAGAGTGGACAAGCAGTCCACGCTGATGGTCAACGGAGTCCTCAAGCAGTACCAGGTGAGAAACCGCGGAAGGGAGCGTACGGCTGTGCCGTATGTGGGCACGCCGTTCCCGGCGCCGCTGCCGGGGGAGGGGGTTTGGTGGGAGGCACCGAGATTTGGGCTGCGCCGAGAGGCTCCCGGTAGCAAGAAACAGGAGCCGAGGGCAGAGCCAGAGCATCTGCCTGGTGCAACGTGACGAGCCAAGGCCGCTCGCTGCTTAAAACGAAGAACGTCAGCTCTCTGCGTGTGTCCGCAAGGAGGGGAATACATTCATGCCTGTGACTGGCTTTAAATAATTAAAATGAGATCGTTAATCGCATATAGTGAGGTCGTCTACATAATGCATAAGACGGGGGGGTGGGGCGCGCCGGTCGTTAGCACGTCTGATGCGCGACTCCTCTGTCTGCAGTCTGATTTTATTTATTTATTTATTTTTAATCTCATCCCTCGATCCTTTTTCCCCGTAGATCAAAGGTTTGGAGTGGCTGGTGTCCTTGTACAACAACAACCTGAACGGCATCCTGGCAGATGAAATGGGTCTGGGCAAAACCATCCAGACCATCGCTTTAATCACATACCTCATGGAGCACAAACGGATCAACGGACCCTTCCTCATTATCGTACCTCTCTCGTAAGTCCCCGGCACGAATCCGTCGCCTCTCCCGGCCCCTGTGCAGCACAGCACACGCTCGGCCTGGCGTCGGTGCCGGCTCTGGGCCTCTGCGGTGTGATTTCCCGTTGCGCAAAGGCTGGTTTTACCATTTCTCTCTCTTTTTTTTTTCCTATTTTTTTCCCCCCAGAACTCTGTCGAATTGGGCGTATGAGTTTGACAAATGGGCTCCTTCTGTGGTGAAGGTCTCGTACAAGGCAAGTACTGGCGTTGATTTTGCACGCCCCTGCCGGGCTCCGTCGGCCGCTCGTTTCGGGAGGGTTCCTTCGATGCCAGTTTTGCCTCTTCCTCATTCCAGTCTTAACAATATTCCCATTATCCCAAGGAAGCTGGGACACTGCCTGGCGCTAAATTAATGAAATCCACGTTTGTTTTTCATTCCTTAATGGCAGAAGGGATCCAGCTGCCACCATCTGCGCTGCCTTTCTGTAACCAGAACAGTTGTTCCGGGTTGATGATAACTACTCCCACCACCTCTTTTCTCCTGAAAATTATATTCTGGTTTAACGTTTCTGTTTGAAATTCTTTCTCCAGGGCTCTCCAGCAGCAAGACGGGCATTCGTACCTCAGCTCCGAAGTGGGAAATTCAATGTCTTGCTCACTACTTACGAATATATCATCAAAGATAAGCACATCCTGGCCAAGGTGAGTCCTGCCAGCGGCTCCCTGGTCGGTCAGTGTTAATTTGAGCCGCGGCAGGAGGATCGCCCGACCTCGCTGAGCTCGTGGGCGCTGCGCAGGCGTCACTGAGAGAGTCCCCGTCGGAAAAATCCTCCCGTCTTAAGGGAGATTTTTATCTCGGGAGTCTCTCGTCATCACGTGGCAGGAGGCGAGGAGCTGCTGCTTCCCCTCAGCAGCCAGAACTGCTGCAGCATTCCCTCTGCCACTCCTTATTTTTGGCTCCATATCCTGTGATACTGCAATTTTTATTTTTTTTCCCTTTTAATAAAGCAATTTGTAGGACAACGAACATTTATTAGAAGCGTTGCCCTTTTGCCCTAGCTGAGCGGCAGAGGGTTTTTTCTGTGCTTAGCCGGCAGCCGCAGGGTAAAGATCAAATATTTGAGGCTTCCCCTGGGTTGGAAAAGCTGTGCCGTTTCAGAAGCACGGAGGCAATGCGCCCAGTCAAAACCCCGGGTTTAATCTCGCTCAGAATTAGTTCTGCGGCGCCGCTTACCTCGGCGACCGGGGTCTGCCTGGATTGTGAGAAACGCTGAAGCTGATGGGCTTTACCTTGGCGAGGCTTCAAAGGGAAGAGACTTCTCGTCTCCCTTTGTGCTGCCGAGAGTTACACACAGTTTGATTTGTTAAAGGCCAAAAGTCTCAAGAAATACCGAAATTCCCCAAAGGCGGCGTCGGGCTCTGTCGGCTCTTTGGTGTTAGCGCTCTTCCTTTCTCCCCGCTCCTTCCGTGTCCGTCTCCGAGATGGAGGCACCAAGTGCTCCTGATGGGAGCAGTTTAGGAGAGGTTGGAATGGGTTTCCACGATCCCGGCTGGCCTGAATCTCTCCTTGGACCCCTCCAAAGACCCAGGCCCCACCAAAGGGCTGTCGATGGGATTCTCCAGCGGTACCTGTGGTGCGGAGAGCCACCGTCCCCCCACCGCCCTTCTCCTTCCCCGCAGATCCGCTGGAAGTACATGATCGTGGACGAGGGCCACCGAATGAAGAACCACCACTGCAAGCTCACCCAGGTCCTCAACACGCACTACGTGGCTCCGCGTCGTTTGCTGCTGACGGGAACCCCCCTGCAGAACAAGCTCCCGGAGCTGTGGGCCCTGCTCAATTTCCTCCTGCCCACCATCTTCAAGAGCTGTAGCACATTCGAGCAGTGGTTTAACGCTCCTTTTGCCATGACGGGAGAAAAGGTACGGCAGGG